TCCTGCACGTCGGCGACCAAGTGCGCATCCAAGCCCCTGGAGGACAATGGGTCGCGCCCCTCGTTACCGGTGAGCTCATCACCCTACCCCCCTTTCTTCCACGCACGCCAGCACTACTGACGCAGGATGCATGCAGGGACTTTCGGTTCCAGCGACTTCGCTCACTCAATGCTCGGAGGTTAGTTCTCTCCTCACTCCATTTCACACCCTTTCGGCTCAACTAGCCTTCGTTCCCAGAGGCCACCGACCACCTCTCGCAAGCCTCCGTCTCGGACCTTAACAAGTCCATCGAGAAAGCCCGCTCCACCACCACCGCATCGCGAGGCCAGTCAGATGGCGACGTCCTCCGCAACCTGTTCTTCAGCATCCCCGGCGGCGGCGGCGGGGAGCTCTCGCGCGAGATGGACGCCGTCGAGCGCATCCGTGCTGGTCCACAGAGTGGTGGAAAACGTCCGGAGGACATGACCCCGCAGGAATTACATGGGGTTCTCTGGCAGGTCTTGACGTTCCGTGATTCTGGTGCGTTTTCTTTATTTTTATTTTTATTTTTATTTTGCGTATGTAATACCAAAACGTTGACATTGTACCTACTCTATGTTCAGTTATGAAGAAGATCTCGATGACAATCGAGAAGATCCCTGGGCTGGGGGCGCTGATTGATAAGATCTCTGACTCGATCTCTGGCAAGTACTTTACTGCGCTTTGGGTGAACCTTATTTCTGACGGGCTTTATTCACCAGTCTTTGTGTTCACGACCCTCGAGGTGCGTTTCTTCTTCCTCCTAGAGAACAATGCTCTTAATCATTGGTTTGGATAGCCATTCCTCAAGCCTATTTTGAAGACAACTACGGCAGGTCTCTCCGAGATTTCGGGTGAAGTCATCAACAATCACGATCAGTACGAAGTTTTCAACGATCCCAGGGCGGTGCGTTGCTGTTTTTTCATTCCCTTAGGCTTGTATTTCTTACGCACTGATAACTCAGTCGGATCCCACCCACTCATTCCTGAGCAAGGACCATTTTGTGAGTTTCCTACCCATCAGCTTCCACCCCAATTTCCACCAATCCAACTCAAAGGTCCAACGCGAAATGCTACAGGAGATGAACAACTGGGTCAACGGCCTCGGAAAGCGCAAGGAGAAGATCCTCCACCGCCTCACCAAGGAGTCTGTGCGCAACCACGAGAACATCCGCCTCGCCGGCGAGGGCGGCGTGGCCGCTTCCCATGGTACCTTTGCCGAAGCAGAAGGTCTCCAGTTCCAGCACAGCCTCACCGGCTACGCGAACCAGATCCCTGGCGTCGCGCAGGCCTCGCATCTTCTCAACGCTGCGAGTGGGGGGAAGCGTCGCGATGGCCATGATCGGTACGATGACTATTCGGATTCTGTCCCAAACCCACAGAGTCACGCCCCGGTGCCCACTACGGGACAAGCTGCGTCTTACTATAGCGATGCCCCGAAGCAAGAGAAGCCTCAATTTGCGCCGCCCAGTGGTCCGCCGCCTTCTTCAGGCTACGGAGCTCCTCATGGCCCGCCATCTTCCTCCAGCTATGCTCCTCCCTCTGGCCCTCCATCTTCCAGCTATGCACCTCCCTCTGGACCACCGCCTGGTAGCTATGCACCTCCATCTGGACCACCGCCTGGTAGCTATGCGCCCCCAGCCTTCCCTAGCCAGCCCGGCTACGCGCCCTCTTACCAATCCCCAGCAGCTCATGCGGGTTACGCACCTTCATACGCACCCTCCTACTCGCCGCCTTCGTTCCCTGGAGGACCTCCTCCGCCATCGTTCCCCGGTGAATCCAGCCCGTCTTTCCCTGGCCCAATGCCGTCGTTCCCTGGCTCAATGCCAGCATTCCCTGGTGCAGCCCCGTCGTTCCCCGGAGCACCGGGACCACCTGGCCCTGGTCATGGGCACGGATCGCACGGCCACCACCATGGACCTCCGCCCCAATTCCCAGGACAGTCTCCGCCTCCCCAGTTCCCTGGTTCACAGGCTTTCCCTGAGGGACCTCGAAGATGGTAGATGGCGAGCCGTGCACTCTGAGTTAAGTTTGCTCGTTACATAGCAGTACTTGAAACAAGGTACTTCCATGCTGCCTCTCCCATTCCGAAATAGAACGTCTTCGTGACTTAGGTACCTATGTACGAAATGAATACTTTTGATGTTGTTGATCATTCCAGACCTAGATTCGAGGGTTTCCGTAAACTTTATCATGAACCATGCAAGAAGCCTTTCTCGTGACTGTACAGAGAACGATCATGAATGCCACAGTGGGGAGCTTGTTTTTTGAAGCTATTGTCTCCACGCCTGAAACTTGATATGCGTCCTATGGAATGGTCTAAAAAACTTAATTTCTTTGGTATGTTTTTCTTAGTCTAGTCAAGACAAGACGGCTTATTGATCACAGTGTGATATTTCAATGCATACTATAGATTTTCTCGAGCAACAAAAGGGTGCAGCCACGAGACCAGTCTCAAAGACACTGACTCCCGCCGATGGCGTATCACTCTAGGCTGGCGACTTTCTTGGGTCCGATAATATTTATTGCTCGAATGTAGAGAACTAATCTTGTGTCTTACTAATTGGATGTTCTGTAGTATCGAGTGTTGCTTGAAATAATGCGATTACTTCCTCGCTACCTTTCACTTTACAGTACGTTCTTTATTTGTGCTGCGGATGTGTTGCATGCATTTAAAGTATGACAATGTGTGACTAGGTATGGTGGCCCTTTGAGGAGGAATGTGCCATGAAATTCAATAGTTTTCAACTTGTGAGTTTTCGAAGATTATATATACAATTGATATCAGGCATTTAAATGTTCGAGGCAGTCAACGATTTTGACGGAGGGTATTGTTTTAGGATGGGGCACAGGGGTTAAGTGTATTGTTTCGAGCCGATTTATGACAAGAACCATGTTATTACACCACAGAATGACCTTGGAGCTTCTATTGTTTTTTTTAATACGGGTGAACAATTAGCGCTAATCAGCATACGAGTAGCGCTTGGAATGATCGACAAGTACCAGTCGATGGAGTCGGGAAATTCAGGTAAGGTTCACTCAGGTATATATGCATTGGGTGGGGATCCGTTGTCTATTAAAATTAGTATTAATTTACACTTCGTGTCTATTTTTACTGCCGTCCCAAGAACAGTCTTGCATCTTCCCATCCCATCCTCTCTCTCTCCTTTCCAATTTCTGCACCCCTTCGCACCTCCTCCGCATCCACCCTTTTCCAGTCCCCATACTCTGTGACCACACCCTCTCTCAGACCCTGCACCACCTCCACCGGCGGGTCCTCAGGATGCGGCGTCGGATTCAACAATACCTTGGTATCCTTGGGCGGAGGTGTGGAGTCAGAAGCCTTATCGGTGGTTACAGCATCGGTGGGTACAGGCGTCGTATGGACATCTGGCCCAGGGAGCCAGTCCGAGAGAATCGTATCCGCCACTGCATACGCGTTCATCATGGTCGCAGCCAGCACGCCCTTTGCGCCCGTCGCGGCCCACCCCGAGGCATAAATGTTCTTCAAATTTAACGCCGCGCCACCCTCTCCATCCCCAGGGTCGACGACGCGCCCGCCGGGCGTAGTACGCAGATGGCCCACTGTGGAGTCATAAAACGGTGCCTGTGGCTCCGCGCGGAAACCGAGAGACGTGATGACGAGCGAAGTGTCTATTACAGACGTCTCCCCCGTCGGCATAGCCTTCCCATGGTCTGCATTCAGAGCAGTGTGTGCCAGCGTGAGTTTCGCCAAATTGGAACCGGGGAGAGGGGCCTCCAGTCGTGTCGGAGCCCTAAAGAAGTCCAATGACCACGTCTTCTCCGTCGTCCCGAACGGGTTCTTCGACCCCTTCCTCAATAGCTGAAGAATCCTCCCTTGCTGCCTCGTCGTCTCCCCCACCGCCGTCTCATCCAATATAGACTGAGGGACCGGGACCATAGCTGAGTTGGGTAGATTAATGAGCTCCCTCAGTTCTTTGGTCGTGAACGCCGCTTCTAGCGGGCCCCTGCGGCCAAAGATCGATACATGCTTTACCTTTGAGCGGGACAGGACATCAAGTACAGGGCGAGGGACGTCGTATTTTTCGAGCACTTCTGGTGGAGTGAGAAGCATGCGCGCAACATCGAGGGAGACATTGCCATTCCCGATGAGAGAGACGTGTGTCGTGTGTTCGAGGGATGGGGGTGGAGGGGCGGCGGGGTATTGGGTATACCAATGCACCAGTGAGAGAGCAGGCACGCAGTATGGAGAAAGGGGCAGCGAGGGGTGCATTGTGGGGAGCGTACAACCTGTGGCAAAGACCACATGGGTATAGTTTGAGAAAATCGATGATAGAGGCAGCTGCATCGTATGTGGTATCGGTGTCAAACTAGATCCAATATTGACGTTTCCAAAAAACCTGAGCCGAGGGTCCTCAGCAGCCGCATCAAATTTATGTGTGCAGTTCTACATGAGAAACTGATTAGCTCTAAACCACAATATAACAACGGTCCACGGGCCTTGCACCCAAGCACGTTTTGCACCGTGGGTTTCTTTCGAACACAAGAGACTCGCCTTGACTTCCGGGTGGTCTGGCGCAACGCCATAGCGCACGAGCCCATGTGGTGCCCAGAGGCGATCAAACATGTGTATTCGGAGCGGAGGGGCCCCAGTTGAGGCCTGCGGGACGAGAGAGAGTAGACGTGACGCAACGTAGAACGCGGAGGGCCCACCACCTATTATTGCCAGCTTCATTGGGGGCATTGTAGTGTAACAAAAGCCGGAAAACCTAAGATTCGTAGAACCAAATGAGGTGGAGTCGAGAGAAAAGATTGATTTTCGGACCTAGTCAAAGCCCTACAATAAACAAGACTTGTAGTGTCCCCAGGCGACGTAGATTATTGGATCAAGGTAAGCTCACGTAACAGACCACAACAACTGCCGTCGCGTCAAATTTCTGGCCATTCGGCCCTCCTCCTCCTGGCCTTTTACGTGTAGCGGGAGTGTGCAATCAACAACAGCCCTCTTAGCTCAGTGGTAGAGCGCATCACTCGTATCTGCGGGATCATGATGAGGTCAGTCGTTCAAGTCGGCTAGGGGGCAAGCCAAGGTGCTCCAGCATCCTTTTGTTAGCCCTTGGAGTGAATTTTTTACTGAAGCCTTTGTCCGTTTATAATTAGTGCTCACAAATACCCATTCTCATTTCACTTGCACCCATCTGTTAATGACTGGGTTGAATTTTTGTAAGTGGTATTTTACTCAGGTACCAAGGATTATGAAGCGTTTTTGGGAGGTACGTACCCCCTTCGCAAGACACATAGAACGGATTTGTTGCTTTTACCCAAATGTACGGACTTGCGAGGCGGCGCTGTAAACTAATTAGATCTTTACTCCCCTCTATATCCCTCTTAGCTCAGTGGTAGAGCGCGTCACTAGTAACATTGGGTTATGACGAGGTCAGTCGTTCAAGTCGGCTAGAGGGAATATGTCGCTATGATGGTTGCTTGGTTAGTAGTCATTATTCCTACTTTTGTAGTAGGTGACAGTCTGGTTCTCAGTTCACTGAACTGGGCTTTGGTCATGTTAATTTGACCAATTATTGACAAATAAAACTAGTACAAGTGAAATGAGAATGAGTGTTGATGGTAAGTATTATCATCGCCAGAAATGAGATTGCTCTATAGCACTATTCAGTGATCTGGATGTTTTTGTTTTAGTAATGTTTGTTGACTAATAAACTGAGTAGTACCTACATAAAACTATGTTAATAAGATATGTAAGTGATCCCTCAGTCATTGTATAAGTGACTATATTTTGTACCTATAAGATATATAAGTAATTCTATAAGTACCAGTTAGTCTATATAAAATGTGAGTTATGTAGGTTACGTATCCTCAGTCATTGTATAAGTGACTGAGAGTATTGTATGCAGTGTCTTGTATATATATACATATAGATCTAAAAATACAATAGTTGATATGTAGCCTGTCTTTACAATAGTGGCTCTAATAGTCATGGCCTTTATTTTTAGCCATTTATTTTCTCTTGTCTAAGTGAATTATCCTAACAAACCAAACTAAAGTTCTTCAGAGATTGTATCTATTAGATTGCTGAGTCACAATAGGTATAAATTGAGTTTTTTGTCTTGAGGACATTTCTTGACTATCTAAAAGAAAACTCAACACATTCTAATGTATGGAGATTGAAGTTCAACTTAAATTTAAACTCTTTCTTTTTATAAGTTATGCTTTGCCTCATTTTTTTTTATCAAAATCATCAACTAATTTTAATTTTGGTATTATCTAGTACCATAAGCTCTTCAATATTTCAATACAACATGAAGGTATGTAGTAGCTTTTAAATATGTAGACAATACATATGGTTAGATTCCTTCTTGCCTAAACAAGGTTAGAGCTATGCTAAACTTAGAAAAATATCTTAAAAAATATTCCAAGTGGTAAGCCTTTCCTAAAATATCCTAGAATTATCATTAAAATAACTCTGAATTATTCTTAGGACAATGTAGAATCACTTACTAAGAGAATGCTGAGAATTCTTACCTTTGCTTAAGCTTATTTACCTCTGGACAACTTAAAATCATTTAAATTAATAAGGCACTACAGTCGACTCTGTCATAACCCATGCGGTTAGGTACAGGCCAAATTGTATGGGTTATCACAAAATATGGGTTAATACAAAGCTTGTTGTACAGTCATGCATGAGTCTTCAAATGGCCTCATAACGTGTTAAACAGTGTATATATGTCATTTTCAGTCTACTTAAACTAGAACAGACTAAGGCAAGTT